CTGAGGGAAAAATATGTAGGAAATATAACTATTATGCTGCCAGTCTAAGTGGGGAGAGAGAAAAAAAAAAAAGCTTAGTCTTGATTAAAGTTTAATTAAGGATCTCATTTGGCAGTACTTTTCACACCGATCTACACCAGCAGATTTTCCAGGGCTTAACTTTATCGTGCAGAAAATCCCCTTTTATTACTCCCAACCTGTTGTAGAAGCTGTTGGCACAGAATGATGGTTGGTTCATTGACAAGCCTTGTTTGCTGCTGAAAAAAATCCCAGGTCTCAAGAGATAGAACCACTATGGTTCAATTTAATATCAGTCCCATCGCTATGAGACTCAAACTCATTATTAATGATACTATTCATTAATTTCTTGTTGGGTTGATGTTGTTATTTATTAAAATATTAAAGAAAACTCTGGAGATGGGTACATAATGAGAGACACCTTAGTTTCACAGCTTTAAGCCAGCTGAGCAAAAAAAAAAAAAAAAAAGTGCAGTAACCCACAAAACCACACACATGCCATCTCTTCCTCATTAGTCCTGCTACATCTCTGAGTGACATTGTAAATTCATTCTGCATTCTGGCCAATCAGGGCTCCTTTTTAATGAGGCATCCCTATGCAAAATGAATTGACTACCGCCTGACTCATCTAAGCTCCCAGTATTTTAGTCAGACGCTAAATTGCATATATTTCTATAGCAAATAAATACAAAAGTTGACAGATTTCTTTTTTTTCCTCTCCTATTTTTGCTCTTGGTAAATTCAGACTAATAAATTCTACATTTAAAAAAAAAAAACTGCCACCATGGTCAGCTAAATCCCAGCATGACATTTAAACATACGATAGTCATATTTTATAAAAAAAAAAAATGGGGAAAGAAAATGAGTTTGTACACTGCTGCAGCCATTTAAAATATGTTTACAAACTCAGCATGTTTTATTTTTTTCTCTTTGATGTAATTTGTTTAAAAAAAAAACTTAACTTTTGTTTTCTTTTTTATAGATTCAATATCTTCTATTTTTATTATTGTGTTCTAACTTCGCTGCAAGAACTGTGTACATTAATAAATCAAATCAAACATTCTTTCAGCCATTTTTAATTTACTGTGCCTATGATAAAGGATGCAAATTAATAATTCACAAATAGATGCTAATAACTCAAGTGTTTTAGCACCTCATTGTATTAATTTAGATCAGGTGGCATACAAAAGAAACATAATTTGTCTTTCATCTACATAACAATCGAGGTAACATCTGAAAGTTAAGTTTTAATTTGACGCTTGCTTATTCATGTCTGTGCAAATAATTTGTGTATAAATACACCTCATGATGTTCAATAGGATTAGCCTGGAATAATTCAACAGACTTTTAATCTTCTCTTTTAATATTGGTTTTCCCCCAACCAGTGTCTAATTCAGTAGCATTCTGTGTAATCTTTGACCTTATTTTTATTGCATATAGCTGGAGCACATATGCTGATATAGATTCTTTTTTCTTTATTCAATGGAACGTGCAGTGACTGCAGTAAATAGTTTTTTTTTTACTTTCATTTTAAATGCTTACAGAAAAATTAAATAGATGAGTACCATTCATTAAAATATTGAAAAGTTAACACTTTTTTTATTAATATTAAATATATGTTTAAATTGTTAATTTAAAATTGCCAGCCATTTACAGCCTGACTTACTTGAGATTCCTATGCCAATTGGTGATTTCAAGTTTTAACTTGCAGAGCATACTCTCTCTCTTTGCCCCTTTGCGACAGATCTTGGACTTGGCAGCTCTCCACTCATGCACTGAACACTGTATTGTTGTGGGTGGGGAGCAGGAGAAGTGTATTGTGTTCTGTTATACAGTACCTTTAGGTATCAGCTGTTTCTAGGATGGTCTGGTGAAAAATTTGGACAATAATGGAGCCTGAAGAAGGTAAGTAGTGACTCTCTAAAGTGGTTGTAAACCATTATATATACCTAGTGAAGTGACTGGCCTCATATGATACACATACAGTTGTGACCAAAATTATTCAACCCCCATCTGAAATTGAGTGTTTTGGCCAGTATTGCTTTTGATCATTCAGTCATCTTGCTTACATTTACATTAAAGAGGCACTTGTAGGTCAGACAAATATAACATAACAGTTATAATGAAATAACCACAAATGTCTTTTCTGTGCTCACAGCATTATCAGTTTTATTCAACCCCCAAGTGACATTCAATCTTAGTACTTAGTACAGCATCCTTTTACAGTTATAACAGCTTTTAAACGTGAAGCATAGCTTGACACAAGTGTCTTGCAGCGATCTACGGGTATCTTCGCCCATTCTTCATGGGCAAAGGCCTCCAGTTCAGTCACATTCTTAGGCTTGCGCACTGCAACTGCTTTCTTTAAGTCCCACCAGAGGTTCTCAATCGGATTTAAGTCTGGTGACTGCGATGGCCACTCCAAAATGTTCCAGCCTTTCCTCTGCAACCATGCTCTAGTGGACTTGGAGGTATGCTTGGGATCATTGTCCTGTTGAAAGGTCCAACGTCTCCCAAGCCTCAGGTGTGTGACGGACTGCATCACGTTTCCATCCAATATATCTCCTGGTACTGAAGAGAATTCATGGTACCTTGCACACGCTGAAGCTTCCCTGTACCTGCAGAAGCAAAACAGCCCCAAAGCATGATTGACCCTCCACCATGCTTCACAGTAGGCAAGGTGTTCTTTTCATCATAGGCCTTGTTCTTCCTCCTCCAAACATAGCGTTGATCCATGGGCCCAAACAGTTCTAATTTTGTTTCATCAGTCCACAGAACACTATCCCACAACTTTTGTGGTTTGTCCACATGGCTTTTGGCATACTGCAGTCGACTCTTCTTATTCTTTGGAGACAGCAAGGGGGTACGCCTGGGAGTTCTGGCACGGAGGCCTTCATTACGCAGTGTGCGTCTTATTGTCTGGGCTGAAACTTCTGTACCCACATCTGACAAATCTTTTCTCAGTTCCTCAGCAGTCACACGGGGACTTCTCTCCACTCTACGCTTCAGGTAGCGCACAGCACAGCAGTCGAAGTCAGCATCTTCTTTCTGCCACGACCAGGTAGCGTTTCAACAGTGCCCTTTGCCTTGAATTTGCGAATGATGCTTCCTAAGGTGTCTCTTGGTATGTTTAACATCTTTGCAATCTTCTTATAGCCATTGCCCTTCCTGTGAAGAGAAATCACCTCTTCTCTTGTCTTCCTGGACCATTCTCTTGCCTTCACCATGTTTGTAACCACACCAGTAAATGTCTAGAAGGAGCTGAGTATCACAGTCATTTTAAAGCTGCCTAATTGGTGCTTATTATGCTTGATTGCTGCTCGGTGACATCCACAGGTGTTTTCAATACCTGATGGAAAGCACCTGTATGAACCTCTGTTCTTCAGAGTGGTAGTCTTTAAGGGGTTGAATAATTGTGGCAATGAAGAAACCACATAAGAACCATTTACTACTGTATTACATAAACAATTGATGTCATTTTAGTTGCATTTGGGTAGTTACAACGTCCTTGTAGGATTTGATTCTGAATACAATTCCAAATGTACACTATAGTCCCTAAACCCCTTTACAGCATTGGGGGTTGAATAATTTTGGTCACAAAACTGTGTAAAAAACAAATCACAAATTAAAGGAACACTTATTAATCAGATTATAGCATCAAATCAATTAAACTCCTGAAATATTGATCTGATCAGTTAAGTAGCAAGGGGGTTGTTGATCACTTTCAGCTGCTTTGGTGTGAATTAAATTAACAACAGGCGCACTAGATGGGCAACAGTGAGAGGACCTCCAAAACAGGAATGGTTTTACAGGTGGAGAGGCCGCTGACATTTTTTCCTACTCATCTTTTCTGACTGTTTTTCACTAGTTTTGCATTTGGCTAGGGTCAGTGTCCCTACTGGTAGCATGAGGTGATACCTGGACCCTACAGAGGTGGCATAAGCAGTCCAACTCTCCCAGGATGGCACATCTGGTACATGCCATTGCCAGAAGGTTTTCTGTGTCTCCCAACACAGTCTCAAGAGCATGGAGGAGATTCCAGGAGACAAGCAGTTATTCTAGGAGAGCTGGGCAGGGCCGTAGAAGGTAACCCATCAACAGGACTGGTATCTGCTCCTTTGTGCAAAGATGAACAGAATGAGCACTGCCAGAGCCCTACAAAATGACCTCCAGCGGGTCACTGGTGTGAATGTCTCTGACCAAACTATCAGAAACAGACTTCATGAGGGTGGCCTGAGGGCCCGATGTCCTCTAGTGGGCCCTGTGCTTACTGCCTGATGCCATAGAACTCGACTGGCAATTGCCATTGAACATACAAATTGGAATAATTGCTCCCAGCACAGGGTGGTTACTGTAGGGGCAAGTAAAGAGTTCTAAAGTACCTCATCCTAATATATACTAGTTGAAAAGTTTTTTAGGCACTACAATAATAATTCATAAAAATACAACACTTTATTGAACATATACAAACATGTAAAATCATTACAGAATAGTAACTTAACTTTGTACCATAAAAGAAATCACTGCAGATACACATACTATTGGTGAACCCCACAATCTTATATGTATGCCGCGTCTCGGCAATAACTACAAGGGGTACTCTTTGTATGGTGATGGTACGGGCTAAAGAGCTATGAGAGGATTTCTAAATAGAAATGTTAAATACATTTGTAGCACATATAATTCCTACATGCATTAAGATGATAGGGACATACAAATGTCAAGACAGATGGTAACAAATTAGTAGATACATTTGCACAAAGACATTGGAGGAAAGCACCCAGTAATGCCATGGGTGGCCGATCAATGAGGAGATCCCAATCAAAATGGAAGAGCAGACAGCAAGCTCCAGGACAATACCTGGTGCATAGATAGATATAATAACATTATTATTAGTAAGGATATATAAGGGCCCAACTGCATCATAAATATATCATATATATCTCGAGGAGTAAGACTCACCTCCCCATTAGATGAGCATGGTAGGGCCACTCAGTGGCGTCCTGAGGCAGGTGCGGTCTGCACCGAGGGTGACATCGACCACACAGGGTGACACCGGACCCGCTCCACAAAAAGGTAAGTTGTAAAGCAAGCCGACGATCCCCACAGGATGGATCAGATCCATTCTGCGGTGATCGTCGGCTTTCTTTACAACTTACCTTTTCTCGGAGCGGGTCCGGTGTCACCCCTTATAGGTTGCATGTCAACGATCCTCGTTGGCATGCAACCTATACGGGGTGACACCAGACCCGCTCCAAGAAAAGGTAAGTTGTAAAGAAAGCCGACGATCCCCGCAGGATGCATCGGATATGCGGATTGAGCATAATGGATCAGAGTCCGGACCATTATGCTCAATCTGCAGATTCGATCCATTCTGCGGGGATCGTCGGGAGGGGGTGTCACCAAGTGTTACCGCACCAGGTAACATCTACTCTTGGAACACCTCTGGGGTCACTAGCTGTTTCCCTGATGATATATACTTTAATAAACTCAAAAAGGCCAATATCATATATATATAGGTTTATGAAAAAACACAGAAAAAGAAAATAGCAGGTTTGTAGGGCTTGTGAGCCCCAATAACCTTCAAATAGGATCCCAGTCAAAGGTAACTGATTGGGCCTACAAAAACCGGGAACAACATACCTCACTGAATTGGTCAGTAGGGAATCCACAACCCTAAATAGGCCCCCAATGTTAACCAACCAACCTAAAGGTACACCTTCCAGGACAGAATGATAGTCTCTATTGCTGCTTACTAAAAGGTAGATGACCACAAGCCAATAGTGTAATTGTCTATAAAGAAAAACAGATGTATGCATATACATAATCCCCTAAAAGGAGCCCCAATGGCTAACATGTATCAAATTCCCCTTGTAACGAGTGCCAAGCCAACTGTACCTATATGATAATTATTAGAAGCTTGGTAAATGAGTCTCAGAAACCCCAGGATGCTGCCACCATGCTGTTATGAAGGCATCCCAACCCAGGATGGCAGCATCTCTGAGATGGCACATGACGTCACTGGGCCCGGCTGCACATGGACGCACATGCGTGCCGTGTTTGTGCACCATCCACAGCTACCAAAAAGATGGCGGGCAGCATGCCAGCGAACAGCTCATGGCATCCATATTGAACAGCCACCACAAGTAGGCGGCACCCATATAGGATGAACCTGCTCTCATCTGTGACAAGCACAGAGTGCCAGTGGCTGACCTGTCAATTCTGGTGTTCAATGGCAAATGCCAATTGAACTCTATGGTGCTGGACAGTGAGCACAGGGCCCACTAGAGGATGTTGGGCCCTCAGGGCACCCTCATGAAGTCTGTTTCTGATTGTTTGGTCAGAGACATTCACACCAGTGGCCTGCTGGAGGTCATTTTGTAGGTCTCTGGCAATGCTAATCCTGGCACAAAGGAGAGGACACCGGTCCTGCTGATGGATTAAGGACCTTCTACAGACCTGTCCAGCTCTCCTAGAGTAACTGCCATTCTCCTGGAATCTCTTCGATGCTCTTGAGACTGTGCAGGGAAAGACAGCAAACCTGGCAATGGCACGTATTGATGTGCCATCCTGGAGAAGTTGGACTGCCTGTGCAACCTCTGTAGGGTCCAGGTATCACCAAATGCTACCAGTAGTGACACTGACTAGAGATGAGCGAATTATTCAAAAATTTGATTCGGCTGATTCGCTGAATTTGCGGAATAAATTCGATTCATTGCGAATTTATTCACTGCGAATTTAACTTATTAAAAGGGTTTCTAGGCTTCAGAGAGCCTTTATATTAGTGCAGAACACTGTACCTTTAATTTAAATGCCCTTGGAGTCTGCTGGGGAAGAGAAATAATACTGTCAGTCAGTATGACATGCAGATGAGTGCCGTCGATCTTAGAATCAACCGCACACTTCCCTCATTTGGGCAGTCATGGGGCCAAAACCAGAGTGTGGAGCCACAGTGTGGCGGTGGAGGCAGCAGCAATGGGAGGCCATACAGCACCCTATGACAAAATGGAACCCACCAGCAGTGTGAGGAGACCTGAAAGTGGCACATAGCAGAGTGTGGCGAT